CCAATGTGACCCTGGTAAGCCAAAAGATTGGACACCCCTGTTCTATAGTAGGGACTCTTCAGATGGTTGAATGTAATCTGGATTTTAGATAAAATAACACAGAATAAAACTTCTCTGTACAGAGCCTGTTGATTTGACTAGAGACTACATACCATAATTACTGGAAATTCAGCCTTAAAAAATCTAACAACTGACAAACAGAATTACATTTAAAGATCAAAGACAGATGTAAATTTATTAATCCTCAGAACATAGGATGTCCTCCTTGACACCTCAGTCTCAAAAACCACAGCAAAGAGTTACTACTGTTCATATTATTATTTTGCAATATATCTTAGAACTCTACAGCTAGTAAAAAAAAGGGAGATAATAGCCACTAGCCAGAGGGCTTACTTGGCAATGTGGCAGGACAACTAATGAAGGAGTGGCTCTACACACAGTCTCCCTGAGGGCTGTGAGCAGGGAGCCCACCGCACCTCCCTAAACTTGTACCCTCCTCCAGGAATAGGCAGTTTGGTATGGTGAGGATGAGCAGTCCTGAACTAGACATGACTGCCACTAGCTATGTGAATTCTAGTAAGTCAGCCTCTCTGATTCTCAGTTTCACTGTACAGAAATTGAGTAATAAAAGTTTTAAGGTCTCAGAAGCTCTAAAATGATTTCACTCCCTATGACTTTCATGTTTACCCTACTTTTCAGAGAGTTTTGTTGAGGATCAAATAAGGATATATATGAAAGCGCTTTATAAATTTTTATACAAATGCAAGTTGCTGTTATTGTTTTATAGATTTTCTTCATTACACTAGGAAAGTATGGAAACAGTTTTGAGATACAATATAAAATGTTTACTACATGGTGAGGCATTTATATGGGCTATGCCCTACAATTTAACAAAAAATATTAAAATTACTTTCTTTCTTATAAAAATTACTCAGGGAAGATGCTATAGTTTTAATTTTTATAGGATTAGCTGATTTGTTATTAAGAACTTAAAGTAACAGCTTAATGAACAGTTCCTAAAATAAGTATCTCATAGGAGCTGTATCCAAGTTTTCTGGCAACCTATTCCTCATACAGATGTCAGCTGTATTCAAAGAAAAAATACATTTTAGAATATCCCTTTTATATTCATTCCTTGAATAATTCCTTAACCTAGAGCAGCAGTGCCCAACCTTTTTGGCACCAGGGACCAGGTTCATGGAACACAATTTTCCCATGGATTGGGGGCGGGGGATGAGGAAAAGGGAAAGGTTTCAGGATGAAACTATTCCACCTCAGATCAGGCATTAGATCCTCCTGAGGAGCTCACAACCTAGATCCCTAACATGTGCAGTTCACAGCAGAATCTAATGCTGTCTCTGATGTGACAGGAGGCAGAGTTCAGGTAGTAATGCTCCCAGCCCCACCACTCACCTCCTGCTGTGCACCTGGGGGTGTGGGGGCAGGGGGTGGGGCAAATAGGTACCCCTGATCTAGAGAATAAAATGTGAATTTGTCAGTGTGGTATGATCTGACCCAATCTACCTCTACAAACTTAGTTCTCCTTAAACACATTCATCTCACCTTTTCCAGTTAAACCAAGACTCAAACCACTCCCTAGCCATGTCAAGCACTCTTGTATGTATTGTTAAAAGAAAAAAATTATTCTATGATACTTGTGAAAGCACAGTAAGAAAGGCTTTATTCAGGGCTACTGTAATAGGTACAGCAACCACTGTAATGAGATTTTGTAGTTGGGGAGAAAGATTGGCTGAACTCTAAATACAGCATGGGCAAATGGGAAAGAAGGAAGTTGAGAGAAAAGGAGTAATCAAGAATGGCAGCCGGGCATAGTGGCTCACACTTATAATCCTAGCATGTTGGGAGGCCCAGGCAGGAGAATCACAAAAGTCAGGAGATCGAGACCATCCTGGCTAACATAGTGAAACCCCGTCTCTACTAAAAATACAAAAAATTAGTTGGGTGTGTTGGCACACACCTGCAGTCCCAGCTACTTGAGAGGCTGAGGCAAGAGAATTGCTTGAATCCAGGAGGCAGAGGTTGCAGTGAGCTGAGATCATGCCACTGCACTCCAGCCTGGGCAACAGAGTGAGACTCCATCTCAAAAGAAAAAAAAAAAAAGAAAAAAAGAATGGCTTCCGGTTAAGTTATCCCTAAATAACTGGGTAAATGGTGCTGTGGAGTACTGGGATTAGGAAGACTTGGTAGCAGGGAACAAGGAGGTGGAGGGAAGGGTTTTTGGGGCAAAAAATTAAGAGTTCTATTTGAATAGGTAAAGTTTGAGAATATTTTAGCTCTCCTATCCCTCTTTATTCTTGGGACATTTTGTTTATACTGTGATTAAGTCACATTCTGACTTAATTTGTTGCATACTTATTTGTCTCCCTAGCCAGACTAGAGGTTCCTGAAGGCAGAGACTCTAACATTTACTCCATATGCTAAGAAGAGGGACTTAAACAAAGTGGTTACTTAAAATGATTTTAGAATGAATAAATGAAGTGTTCTAGAAATTGTGAGGAACACAAACCAAAGAAGAGAGAAATGTTTACTTTTCTAGTAGCCTCCATTATCTAGAACTCAGCTTGAATAAGGTCAACAGAAGTTACAACAGAACATAAACCCACTTGAGAGTATAGCACTCTAGCATGTAAACCCACTTACATATGTAAAATCAACTCCTACTGTTAAGTCTCCTAGCATGAGCGCTACTGGGCTCATACTTACTAGCTCTGTTTAGATAGCTTTCTCTTATACTGTCCAAAGCAAACACTGACAGACATGACTTGCATCTTTCAGATAGGTTTCCAGTAAAATTTTTATTTTTAAACCCTCTATTTACATGATTTGTTTCTGTAGTTATGTATTTCAGATTCTAATAGATTATTAGTACAATCAACATTTAATTATTTATCCACTTTACAAACTGATTTGAACACTGAATAGAACCACAGAACTTTTAAGACAGAAATTCACCAAAGCCAGAGCCCTCATTTATCTGGAGGGACGAGAAAACTCTGGCCTGAAGAAACTGCTCAAGATTCTACATTTAGAAATAGAGTTAGGTCTGAAAATTAGCTCACCTGGTTCCTAAGGCAGGATTTTTTTCATAAAGTCTGCCTTCTTAATAAAAGAGGTTAATTTGGCCATTTTGAAGTGGACTACATATTATGCTTTTGCAATTTTTCTGTTCAGTGATATCTCAATGACATTTCTAAGAAAGATATGCCTTAAAATGAGGTTGGGCATATTAGTAACCAAATGGCTTAATGGCCATGCTTCTGAGATAGTATGTGCAGGTATATAAATAACTCTCTTATGGCCCACATGGCCATGGAAGCTGAAGGGAAATGGAGCCAATCCTACGTATAGCTGTGAAGTTTGAAAGGCTTGCCTTTATCATATCCAGCTTTCCCTTTTTTCCTTATCTGTCTCAGTGGGTGGTAATCCTTCTTCCCATTTCAAAGGCCTTCCTATCTATTCCCTCTGCTATTTCCCTTTACAAAAAATGAAAAAAAAACATATTATATATCTATTATCTATACCTTGTTGGGAGAACCAGACATACAATACTGCTTAAATGAATTTTAAACAGTATATTAACTCAACCAGATATTTACCTTCTAAGCCTTTAATCCTGGATTGTGGAATGAAAAGTTTGCTCCAAGATAGTTGGTAGGGATAGAGTGGTGGAGAGAGGTTCCCTCCCTCCTAGTCATAAAAATGACAAGTTCTGAAGCCAAGTATCTATCTAGAGTGAAAAGGACAAGTCTAAAGAGGTAGTACATGATGCAGCTCCACTGGAAATAACAATGGCCAATCTATTACTTTGAGTTTCTGGAAGATATCTGGAACCCTCGAAATTAAAAATTTCTAAGGTTTGAGGTATTTGTTATTAATTATTATAGTGATTTGAAATTAGATTTCAAAGTAGTTCAAAGTTAGCTTACACATATTCATCATGTTTACAATATAAATGTTATATTCATACAGCACCTTATGCTTATAGTGTTTTCATATATGCTATCTCATTTAAACTTCAACAATATATAATATAAACATCATTTTCAGCTTTCAAATGAAGAGTCTAAGGTTTGCAGGTAATAAGGGTTATAAACGGCACAGCCCGGGTTGAACATAAGAATTGTGAATCCAGGTATTTTCTCACTATAACATGTAACCTATACAGCAATATTAAAGTAACTTGTATATGTAAATTCCAAATACTTTCAAGGTAAAAAAGTGGTATATATTGTCCCCAAATTTCTAAGTAAATTATGTTGATCTTCTCATACTCAAATTTTCTTCTTAATTTTTGTGGAAGATAATTGTTTTGTTATTTCCAGCTTTCTTACCTTTCTGAAATAATTCAGTAACAGAAAAAATAATGTCAAAAACATATAGCTAGTGACCAGAAAAAGTCATCTTTCAATACCACAAACATTTCTCACTTAGATATTTTTCCTTGGAGGTCCTTTGAAAACCATATTCAAACTCATTTAAAACATTAGCCAAACAATTGTATAGTTTAGTGATTCAGTATAGTTTTGTACAAGCTTTTTTTTTGCATATTTTGTTAATCTACCCTTTAATGGGATGTGATATCACCACAGGCTGCATCCTATTTCCGCCAAAATGTATTTTACCTTGACTTTCCTTGAAATGAATTATAACATGGGATTATCCATCTATGATGGGTTATTTATTTAATTGGGAAACTGAATCAGATTTAACATCATACAGGCTTAAAACTCACGTTTTGCTAGTTTTAAATTATCATCTGTTAATAGAACATAGTTGCATGTATCTACTGTTACCAGATACAAACTTACTTTTGAAATAAGTTTGGTGATTTTAAGGAAAAAAGAGATGCCAGAATAGAATTCATCCAGTGTGAAAATCGACAATTATAAGCTTTATTTCTAAAAAAGGAAGTGACATTCATCAAACAAAACGAGCATCTGCACATTTAAAAGAATTGCCAAAGTAAGAAAGGGGCTCACCGGTCTGAGTGAAACCAAACTGATGTAGAATCTCTTGGGTGGTCAGCATGTTTGACGGCTTTAACTTAGACCGTTGTGAGGAAACCGCTGGTGGTGAAGTAAATGAGAGATTTTTGTTGACCTGTATTAGGAAAAACAAATCAGAAACTACAGTGTAATTTCCTGGATTACTGATGCAAAAATTGGATGAGAAATATTTGTTTATTATACAAACCAGGACACACTGTAAGTTAAAAGGAGTGGTCATGCTTTACATGGTTAGTTTGTAAAGTTTACAAAAGAGAGTCATTTTCATCAAGGAAAAAAAAATACAACTGTAATGAAAACATAGCTATATGAAAATAAATCAGCCTTGCTAAAATTTACCATGGAACTGACATTATTAACTTAGAGTGGTCTTAAGTTATGCAAAGAGAAATGCAAAAAATAAAAATGACTTCTTGATTGTTTCAGTTAAGAAACAGTGAAAATGTTTCATTCACATCTCTCTAGCATTTTAGTGAAATAGCAGGTACTTCCTTTTCAGAGATACACAGAAAACACCTGTACTACTCATGTTTATATACATCACGGTGACACAGATAACACAGCTGTAACCTAACTTGCATGTGAAATAGTTTCCATTGCGTCAAAACACCTTATTCTTAGGATACTGTTTAAGCATATCGTTGAAATAACAATCAAGCAAAATTTCTGTAAGTAAATACAATGTTATAGAACATATAAACGTAGTATGATTATCTGAGTGCACACTAGCCTCACAGAAATGAAATGAGCAATAAATGACACTTTATAACTACAGCTCTTGTAGGAAACTAAAGAATAGTTCACTAAAAAAGCCTAAAATGTTTTTAAATAAATTCATCTTGTCAATCAGAATTAGTTCCAGAAAAAAAATATTTTTTAAATTATTAACAAATCATTCCTTACATCTGCTTTATTACTTTCAAGAAGTGCAACAAAATGTGACCTATTTTGGGGAAATTGATAGTCTGGTTTTCTAATCCACCTAAAAAATGTAATCTATAAATTAACAAAATAATAATTTATGGCATAAAAATATTACCATATTAAAAGAGCCCCTTTCCCATTTTTTGTTTAAATAATGAAAACCATATAGAGGACTTCTACTGTGCAAGTATTTAAAAATTCCCTTTTGATGTTCTGTATAAGATAATACAGGGCTCTGGTTACATGCCCTTTATCTGATTCACCATTTCCATGTTTGTAATTTTTTTTTCCATTTTTTGTTTTTAAACAGTGAGAATAAACAGTGTATCTCAGTTTAGGTTTTTCTCTCAGAGCGAAGAGATAGCAAATTTGGTGAGAAAGTCAATTAAGACCATATGTTAATATAGTTCTAAAGCACCTAAAATATTATGCCATTTCATTAAAAAATAAAAGTATTTTCCAAAGTAGTTGGAGGGGTCAAATACCACATCAGTCCTAAAATATTATCCAGCTTTAAAAATTCTATCAAAATCCACTGAACACAGATCAAAATTGACTATTTTGATCTACAATACCTAAAACAACAAACTCATTTAACATTTTTGAGCTTCATTTTCCATCTTTAAATGGAGATAAGAAAAATAATATCTATGCTTCAATGGGAATGTGCCAGGAAAGCAATAATGATAAATTGGTATCACAAAGTGCTATTCATATGTGAACCAAAAAGCACTAAATATTAAATAAGAAATAGATTAAACAGAATATATTGGCAAGGGCAAACAATATAGTAGTATATAAAGAAGATGTTATATTAATTATTATTAACATCACTAGAAGTAAGGGTAGTTAGGTATTTATAATGTAGTATGATGATGTGGTCAATTTTTCTGAGTTCTGTGCTTTCAAATGGAAAAGAACATAGTTATCAATTATTTCATTCACTTTTTTTTGGAATCGTTTCTCAGTTTTACTTTTTTGTTCTTGAACATTTTTATCTTAAATATCAAATAATGCATTTAAAAATCTGCTGCAAACAGGCGTATGCTGGGGAAATGAAGATATATACACATATATGCACATACATACACCTACATTATCCATATACAGATATGGATATAGATATAGATATATATACACAATAGCCATTTATAGTCTTCCTCTTCAGAAATTTGTGCTAAAAACAAAAAATACCAGGAAAACTAACATAGGATATTTAAATGCCTCTGTTAAAATAAAAAGACTTGCCATTCTTTTAAAACAAAATTAAAAAACACCATAATCTATAAGTTCTTCCTAAACATTTTTATAATTCTGATCTTTCTTGACTTTTTCTTTTTTTTTTACAAACTATTCAAATGTCCACAAAGTAATGAGAGTAGCAACATAACAGAGCAGATAACTTAATTTCTAAGGTCTGGGGTAACTGTTAATCATTATTGTTATTATTAGCAATTTTATTTGAAATTAGAACTTAAAGCATTTTCAAGGCTAGCTTGTACATATTTATTACTTCATTTAGAGGAAGAAAAAGAATAATAACCATTAAATAGAGTGAAGCAATATCTATTTTTGAAATATATGCTGTGGAAAAGAATTGCTTAATAATTTTACAACAACAGAAAGGTTGGTTAAGATAGTCTACCCTGCGCCAATCTACCCTCTTTTCACAACACACTTTTCTGTTTGCTTCATGCAAAAACCACAGTCTGCCAAAGTCAGTTTAATACCTCCATATTGGAGAAAACTAAAAGTATAAAAATTTAACATAATTCATAATAAAGAAAAAAAATCACCTGGAACTTCTGCCAAGTTAGTCACAAAACTGTTTTGCCTACTCTTTTAGGATATAAACAGACAAGCAAAATATGCAAATACTAATTCTTTAGAAGGGGGTTAATTTTCATGTTAAAAAACTTGCTGCTCTAAACATAAAATAGAATGCACAATATTAAGAAAGCAGACAATTAGTTTCTCTTTTAGTGATTAAAATTTAAAAGCTTTGGGGGAGATATAGTACTCATTTCCATATATACTTACAAGTCTAACCTTTTAGCTAATTTTAGATTATATGCTACATTCATCTGAAGTAGAATTGTTTATGAAGTTTCAAGCTGTGAGGACACCTCAAGCTGGTTTTAAATTATAACCAAGAGAATGTTAACGCTGTCTACATACTTAAAAGTTCACAAATTCATCTCTCTCCCAGACAGTTGTTATATTTTTCTACTAATCTGAACAATAAGGCAGATAATATTTTAATCTGATGGCAGTTCTGGTGGCATTAGAAAAAAAAAATCAATAATACCCAGGAAACTTTTTTTGCAAATCATGTATCTGTTGTAAAAATTAAAATACCAGTATCAAAGAAAAAGCTACACAGAAAACTTGAGCCAAAGTGCATTCAAGATATCTGAAGTCAGATATCTTTTACATTCTCATAATATAAATATTAAGAGTAGCTTATGCTACTTGTGATTTCTAGCTTAGTAAAGTCAAAGCAATGAGTAGCCTATGATATTATAAACAGCAATTCAAATACGACCTCTTGGCCCTCAGGTGTTTTCTTTACAAGCCAGGATAGAGATGTGAGGGATTTGGAAGAAAACACTGTAACTGTTAAAGAAAAATTTCTACAGCAATAAGATGCCAGAAAATCTTACCCCCAAACCAGTTCATTATGATTACTTTAGCTAAAATCAGTATTCAAATTTGAATCAGTCACTGTAAAGTCTTTTGGGTAATATTTAATCAAGATTTTTGAACCTCTGATAGGTGCCAAGGACCGGTGGTTCATAGATTACTGATATGATTCCTTCACGTGAATTTTAAAATTAAGATCTAGTCCTGGCTCAAACCAATTATCCAGCAATATTCCTTAGGGTAAAGCAATTTACCTCAATGCATCTTGTTTTTCTCAAAACCTTTACCTCTTTTTCTCTTAGTTCACTGCCTTACTTCACAGAGAAAATTTTGGTCTTAAACCCCTGAACTTCTCATTTCCAAACTTATAAAAGAATGCACCTCTCGTACCTATCCTCATGTCTTTACTTCTAGGGTCACAGGAAGAGGAGCATTCTGTTTAAGATTCATCCCTCTGTCCTCTTAGGGATATCCTTAAAGTTCTTCCAAATTCTACTTTCAGGTCAGGCACAATGGCTCATGCCTATAATCCCAACACTTTGGGAGGCTGAGGCAGAGGATCACTTGAGTCCAAGAGTTCAAAACCACCCTAGGCAACATAGTAAGATCTCATCTCTACAAAAATAAAAATAAAAAAATTAGCTGGGCGTGGCAGTGCACACCTGTGGTCTCAGCTACCCAGGAGCCTGAGGCAGGAGAACTGCTTAAGCCCAGAAGGTCGAGACTGCACTGAGCCGTGATGATGACACTGCACTCAGCTTGGGTGATAGGGTAGACAGTGCTTCAAGACAAAAAACAAATGGTACTTTCAAATTCCTACTGGCTATTTCCTCACAGGCTAGAAGCACAGACCCTTCTATTTTAGTACAGAAACAAACAGCAAACAAACCAACTAAAATCCTCCCTCTGATTCCATTACATCCTTAAGCTTCGTTAAAAGGTAAACTCCTTGAAAAACAGCACACAACTGTGATCCATATATCTGAATCCTTTAATCTTCAACCGTCTGCAACAAAGCTTGTCTCCATGATAAAACTAAATCTGGACTTAGGGTAACCCTGGAGTTCAAATGATCAAATTCGGCAGATTCACTTGGGCCTCTATCTGATACCGCCCCGCCATTGATCCTTCTATCTTTGTTTCTGCGGAGCCATATTTTCTTGGTTATCCTGCTATGTCTAGCTGTTCCTCATCAGTGCTGTTTGTTAGATCCACTGAGTTCCTCTTCTTCCTTCACATCATAGTTACACTGGGCAGGCATATTTTTCACCAATTCATCTGTCTTCTAATGCTGATGTTTCTTAAATCTAAAATACATGTCCTGATCATTAAGTTAAAAACTAAACTAACCTTTGTCCCGCTGTTTACTTTCTTAGGGAAAGCTATCATTCTCCACCTACTTGCCAAGGCTAGAAAGCTGGCACTCGTACTTTATTGCTCAACACATTCCACATAGATTACTATAGTTTGTACTACTCCAGTTAAGCCGTCTTCCAAATAGTGTCAAAATAATACATCTTTTTTTAA